ACGACGACGACGACACACACACACACACACACACACACACACACACACACACACACACACACACACACACACACACACACACACACACACACACACACACACGACGTGCACTTGGCACCGATCCCTCACTCCTCCTCCTCCTCCTCCTCTTCTTCTTCTCTCCCCACTGGGCGCTGCAGGTCCCCACTGATCACGCGTGTGCTGTACACGGCGTTCTGCGAGAAGGAAATTGACTTCCGCGTTGTTGTCATTGACTCGCGCCCGTATCTGCCCGGACGGGAGCAGGTGAAGAGCCTTGCCCTCCACGGCATCCCCTGCGAGTACACACTCCTCTCAAGCGTCTCCTACGCCATGCGCGCGGTACGTGTGCTGTACGCCGTGGCGTGGTGTGGCGTGTGGTGTGCTGGGGTGATGTGATGTGTGTGTGTGTGTGATTGAGGTGACGATGTGTGTGTGCGTGCGTGATGTGACGTGTGATGTGTGTGTCTGTCTGTCTGTCCCTTTGATGCTAATTGCCAACACCCCGCATTTCTGTTTCTCCGACTGCAGGCAACGAAGGTGTTCCTCGGGGCGCACAGCATGATGTCAAATGGGTGCGAACACACACGCACACACATGTACACATGTTCTCACCTGCGCATACGCGCACAAACCATCAGAACACACACACACACACACACACACACACACGCACTGCATCTCATGCGTCTGTCCTTTTGTGTGTGCGTGCATGTCAGCAATCTTGTGGCGAGTGCGGGAACGGCGCAGGTTGCAAACACAGCGTCCTTCTTCAACGTCCCCGTCATCGTGTGCTGTGAAGCATACAAGGTGTTGTCCCTTCACTCCTCCCCTAAACGCTGCTACCTTGCCACCCATCTCCCGATCAACGAATGAACAGCACTCCAACTCGCTGGTTCTCTTTATTGTTGTTGCGCTCACATGTGTGTGTGTTTGTTCTTTGGTGCCACTCGCCAGTTCTCAAGCGATATGCAGGCCGATTCCTTCGTCCACAACGAGCTTGGTGCGTCTTCCTTGTTTGCATGTGTTCGCATGGCCAAACTTGATTTTGCTTCCATAAGCCGCTCACCCCTGCCACCACCACCACCGCCATACTTGTCACGGCGGTGTGCAGGGGACCCCGACGATCTGCTGAACCTCCGCGGCGGATTCGAGTCGTCGCTCAAGAACTGGATGGACATCAAGGACATTAAGCTCCTCAACCTCGGTAACACACACACGCACTTGTCACATGCATATTCACACACGGATGCACTCCGCTACACTACACGACACTACACGACACTACACGACACGACACGACACACCGCTCACCTCGACCCCGATCCTCCCCCTCCCCCCTTCCCTTTAGCGCGAGATGTGACGCCGGCAAAATACATTGACGTGCTCGTCACAGACTACGGCCTCGTCCCGCCATTCTCAAGTCAGTCGTGGCTCCCACACCCACCACCCTCGCCTCCCTGGACACACATGCATGCACAGTTTGCACGTTGTGTGTGTTGCTGGCATTGGAGTGCCCAGAGGCTGTGGTGTGCGCTTGCACCGGCTTCACTTGCACCGGCTTCAATTGCACTGTGCATGCATTTCATTCATTCATTCATTCATTCACACACACACACACACACACATTCACATACTTTCGTGCTTGCCACCACAGGTACTGCTGTGCTGCGAAAGAGCGACAGCAAGTTTGACCAAGCGTGAGTGCCATCCAAAGCGACGACAGTGCGATGGCATTTTGTGGCGACGCTATGGTGCGGGCAGAGAAGGAACGAGCACAGCTGCACGACACGCTGGTTCTGTTTCAACGTGGGCTGCAGGCGTTGCGTTGAGACACAGACTCGCTTTCCCTGCTGTTGGTGCTCGTACTGTTCTGCTGCGCGATGTAAGCGTTTGTGAATGACTTTGTTGTTGTTGGCTGGTGTTGGTGCGCGCCAGTCCATGCGGTGAATAAAGCATATGGATCTCCATCCCAGGATCCGCCACAGATGGCACGCATAGCCGCAGAGAGGGTAGAGAACAAACAGGAGAGAGACTGTGTGAGGACGCACGCACGCACGCACACACACACACACACTCACACTCACACGCATATGCACATCGTTGGTAACTGGGAGCTTGTGTATTCGAGGCTTATGTGCAAGGGGGCGAAAGGAAACAAAGTAACAGACACGGGGCACCAACACGAGAGCAAGCAGCAGCAGCAGCAAGCAGCAGCAGCAGAGGCAGCCAAGGCGGGGGTGGGGGAGAGACAGTTAGATTTCGCGCATGACGATTCGGTATGTGACGTAGCGGCCAGCCGTCTCGCTCGTGCGCGTGATGCGGACCACCTGATGAAGATGATGATGATGCAGCAGCAGCAGTTGGGCGAGTGTAGAAGGGGAGGGGAGGCGTAAGGTCATGGAGGAAGAGGGGTGCATCGTGCCAAGGGACAGACGGACGGACGGACGGACGGACAGACAGACGGACGGACGGACATACACACGCACACACACACACAAACACACAAACACACAGACAGACAGACAGACACAGACACACACAGACACAGACACAGACACAGACACAGACACACAGACACACAGACACACACAGACACACACAGACACACACACACACACACACACACACACACACACACACACACACAGTACCTGTCCGTGGCTGAGGCCAAAGTAGCGTGCGATGGG